TGTGTCCAATAATTTGGTGTCGAATCGATCGGTGTCGAATTGTACTGTGGTCAAACGGAACACGCCCGATTTTATCGACATTTTCGACGATTGGCCTACCAGAGCGTGCCTCATCGACGTCCATATTACCAGAACGGAATCGTTGGAACCACCGCTTTGCATTCAATACTGTATTGGGTCCATAAACAGCACAAATTTTTTTGGCCGCCTGCTCTGCCTTTTCACCTTGGTCGTAGTGGTACTGAAGAATGTATCGAATTTTCTCTTTTGTTACCTCCATTTTGGAACGCTGTAACACACAACTGGCTTGACCAAACACAAAACTGTCACAGAACTTTTTTGAAGCGTAATGTCACCTTTCAATCGCCGTATTGTATGACCCGATGCGATGTATACATCGTGAGATATGGCTCACTAAAGACATCTAGCGGAAAACGCTCAGAACTTTTTACTTCACCTAATATGTTATCTCGATAAGATTATGAAACGAGAGAAAGCTGACATCACGTTGAGAAAAAGATACAAGCATTTCTCGATCATCCACCATGCATAAGTCAAGAAGCGTAGACGATAAAGAAGTATAGTGAGTTGGTGCATAAGGTACAAGATACATTGCTGATATAGTAATAAAATCAAAAATCTGATCAGAATCAAAAGTCTTAGCAAGTAAATTGGCATTAAAATCGCCAAAGATTATAGTATGCCTATACAATGCAGAGAGATGCGAATAAATGTTAAAGAAATCAAGTAGATAGCCACAGTGGGGAGGCCTGTAAACAACGGCAAGTAGAAGCTTCTCATTAACAGCCAAGATTTCAACAAACATAAACTCAGGCTTTCTGCAATACTGACTTTTAGAAAAAACAAGTATCTTCACTTTTAACGAGCTAGCAACAAAAAAGGCAACTCCATCTTTGCCCTTGCCGATGCAATCACATCTGAATAACTGATACCCAGATAAAGAAACCATCTGGTCAGTGATCGCAGGTTTTAGCCAGATTTCAGAAAGGCAAATAACGTGGTACTGCGAAGTTATAAAGAAGGCTCTAAACTCATCAATATGCGCTAGTAGCGATTGGCAGTTTACATGACAAACTTGAATGCGATCCATAGAAGTTGAAGTGCTAGCCATAATTGATATTGGGTTGGTGGAAAAGTTCTGCGGATTTTTAGTATAAAATTTAAACACAAAATCGACATTTATAAAAATTAATTTAGTCCACAATGTGTTGACCGTCTTGATCTACAACTTGTTGCCAACGTTTTGGTAGGGCTTTGATGCCGCTCTCGTAAAACCCTTGAAACTTGTGGGCAAAAAAATCAACGAAGTGATTTCGGATGGCCTCCATTGAGTCAAATTGATGACCGTCAACATTGTTTTGCAGCGAGCAAAACAAGTGATAATCGGACGGTGCAAGGTCCGGCGAATATGGTGGGTGCTGCATCATTTCCTAGCCAAAACTCTGCAATTTTTTTTTCGTGATCAAAGAAGTATGTGAGCGTTGTCACAATGGAAAATCACACCTTTTCTATTCGATAATTCTGGCCGCTTCTCTTGCACTATCTTGCGTAATTTGTCGAGCTGAGGGCAGTATTTCTTCAAATCTATTGTTTGACCCTGCGGGAGCAGCTCAAACGACAACACTCCTTTATAGTCCCACCAAATACATAGCATTAAAAAAATATATATGCAGAAAGGGCCGATACAGAGTGAAATACTAGGTGTTGATGTATGAACAAGAATTTTTATTTAAACATGCCAAACGTTTCGACTCTTGGTTTGAGTCATCTTCAGTGGCATACAAAAATCTACATAAATAAATTAATATAAAAATTACAAAAATCAAGGAAACAGTACAGAAAAGATACCAAGCAATAATTACAACTCACCATTAAGAAAAATATAGGCAGTACATCACCTTGCAATAAGGAAGAGATATCAAATAATTAGTTGATATTCATCAAAGTGTTTCAAAAAACCAAAAATGTCCTCTTTCCATGTCTC